CCCGGAATATGTGCAGTATCGTCCAGTTACCCCTGGGGTACATACAGTATCGTCCAGTTCCCCCCTAGGGTACATACAGTATCGTCCAGTTACCCCCTGGGGTACATACAGTATCGTCCAGTTACCCCCGAGGTACATACAGTATCGTCCAGTTACCCCCTAGGGTACATACAGTATCGTCCAGTTACCCCCGGGGTACATACAGTATCGTCCAGTTACCCCCTAGGGTACATACAATATCGCCTAGGTACTCCCCGGAATATATGCAGTATCGTCCAGTTACCCCCGAGGTACATATAGTATCGTCCAGTTCCCCCCGATGTACATACAGTATCGTCCATTTACCCCCGAGGTACATACAGTATCGTCCAGTTCCCCCCGAGGTACATACAGTATCGTCCAGTTCCCCCCGAGGTACATACAGTATCGTCCAGTTACTCCCGAGGTACATACAATATCGTCCAGTTAACCCTGGGGCACATACAATATCGCCTAGTGACCCCCTGGGGTACATACAGTATCGTCCAGTTACCCCCGATGTACATACAGTATCGTCCATTTACCCCCGATGTACATACAGTATCGTCCAGTTACCCCCGATGTACATACAATATCGTCCAGTTAACCCTGGGGTACCTACAATATCGCCTAGTGACCCCCTGGGGTACATACATTATGGTCAAGTTACCCCTGGGGTACATACAGTATCGTCCAGTTACCCCTAGGCTACATACAGTATCGTCCAGTTACCCCCGAGGTACATGCAGTATCGTCCAGTTACCCCCGAGGTACATACAGTATCGTCCAGTTCCCCCCGAGGTACATACAGTATCGTCCAGTTACTCCCGAGGTACATACAATATCGTCCAGTTAACCCTGGGGTGCCTACAATATCGCCTAGTGACCCCCTGGGGTACATACAATATCGCCTAGTGACCCCCCGGGGTACATACAGTATCGTCCAGTTACCCCCGATGTACATACAGTATCGTCCAGTTACCCCCGATGTACATACAGTATCGTCCATTTACCCCCGCTGTACATACAGTATCGTCCAGTTACCCCCGATGTACATACAGTATCGTCCATTTCCCCCCGATGTACATACAGTATCGTCCAGTTACCCCCGAGGTACATACAATATCGCCTAGTGACCCCCTGTGGTACATACAATATCGCCTAGTGACCCCCTAGGGTACATACAGTATGGTCCAGTTAACCCCTAGGGTACATACAGTATCGTCCAGTTACCCCCGGGGTACATACAGAATCGGACAGGTACTCGTTTGGGATATAAGTTAGTGTCAAAAGTTTTCAGGAACCAGTTTGATATGGTTTATGCAATTCAGTATTTTTGTTACTGTCTAGTTTACATTTATATGTAATTGAATATGTAAATTGATATAATTTTACTTTTCATATGTGATATTTTGTGACTCATCTATCAAATTATAGTTATGTCTGGGTATTGATCGAATTTTAACTGTATATTTTGTGGTTATGATCACTGGGACCCGATAATTGATTACAGTTATATTTGGACCTAAACTATAGCGTACAGAGTAGATAGACTTTCGGTAAATATGACGCCTCAGTTATTATATATACGACCGAAAATCAATCTTAACCCTGAAAACAAGTTAAATTAATTTGAACACCTTAGTTTAGGTCCAAATATAGCTGTATCAAATGCTCATGTCCCTGTGGTTATGACATGTATATCATTGTCTATCAATGCATGGCACGTTTAATAAACTAATTTATTAGTATAGAATTGTATTTTATTATCATTAGCATACACAACCATACAGTTCATTACACTAGTGACATACACAGATTGATCGATGTCACTTCGTCCATTATGTAAATGTATATTACACAGGGAACATCAAACATAACACGTGTTGTATATAGGTATTATTTCTTAACTACTGGTAGTAGTAGTACTGGTATACCACATGTAGTATCATGGCATAATGGTATGAGGTCCATCATAATATTTGTCATCGTTCATTACAAAGGATATGAATTCATTTAAACCGAAGTTTTGTTCTCCAATCCGTTTTTATATCTTCTATTTTGTGTTGTATTTGAGACATCGTGTAATACATTGAACAAAATGCTGTGTTTTAATTACAAACACTCCTCCCCACTCCCGCGCCCACCGGGACACAGATACAAGTGTGCGTTTAGTGATGCTCCTGGGGTACAGTCTTCTCTAGATCTCTCCCCGATGGTACGTGATTATAATACCGTACATGTCCTCGGAGTTTCTCCCCTTGGGTACAAACTAGTCTCGTTCAACCAGCCTCTTGTTGTCTGCGCGAGCTACAAGTGATCAAGCGTCTGATTGAACGAGACTAGTGTACAAACACGACGGTTCCCCTCTAGAAGTACACACACTCCCGCAAATGTTTGAAGACGAGTGCCGAGGGAGACACAAGCCGAAAAGACAGAGCAGAGAAGAACGAATAGAAGAGTTTTATGCTAAATAGATCCGGGAAAGATTATACACTTTAATGTAAATTGAATTCCTTAATTAAACATTCTTCCAGAGAAAACATTATCAAGACTACAACTATGTAAATATTTTCTTAATTAGCCAGACAAGACAATACACATTACTGACGCCGTTCTATGGTATTGTTTGCGTTAATGGAAACTGTCACATTGTTTTACAAAAAGTATATATATATGTCCAGTACATGGAAAAGGGGATATACGTGTATTCCCGTTATGAACAAATGTTGGGCTCACAAGGAAAAAAAAACTAACAAAAATATATCGGCGATTACATTTATCATTTAAGTACAGAAAGATGATAATTAGCGGGGAAAATTCCAACGTTATATTCTGAAAATGTTACGAAATATCAAATAGAATGATTGTGATATTGATTTAATTGATGACACACGCTGTCACATAAAATGCAAGAAAAAATCATTTTTTTCCCGTCTTATTTTGCTGTTGCAAGGACTTAAGACCAAAAACAAATCAAATGGCAGGTTGATAACTCAATTGAAAGGACCACATACTGTTGGTGTCACGTGTATCAAGTCTAAACACAGCCTGTAAAACCGCTAAATGCTTTATGTAAGTGTCCAAAAAGCGCACCAAGCTTTGTGCAGTTAGGTTCTCGACCCAGATAAAAAAATATGTGACACAGGTATTTCTCCTAGCTCACGATCCGCCCCAAAATTACTAAATAACAATTAATCAGCATAAACAATGAGGTCGCTGTTCCTTGAAATCACCCACAATCGTCCTCCATCCTAATTGTAAGTAACAAAGCTATCGTTACAGTTTGTTATGTGTAATTTCTCCACTCCCCATATCAAGTCACCTTTCCCGTTATTCATACACTGGCCCAATCCCTTTTATATTACGTCACATTCTCTTATTTCCCAATAATCCATATATCAATTACCTTTCCCCTAATTAATTTTCTGTCTTACTCCTTACCTTCTATTTACTACTACAAAGTAAAAAGTTTATAAGTCACCTTCCTTATGTAGTCAACGTTTCAAAATACATACCAAGCACACATACTCTCTTTCCTGGAAGATATACACCCAAATAACCCCTCCACACACACACACACACACAATTAACCACTGTGTGTTTCGTCCCATATACCTACAGGACTCGTCCCCACATCTATGTACCTCGTCACCTCTCCAATATATCCTATATCTCGTCCTACTCCTATATATCTCGTCACCTGCCCTTTGTATCCCCCCGCCTATCTATATCTCGTCCCCACGCCTATATATCGTCCCCGCCTATTGATACCTCATCACCGCTCCTACATATATCGTCCCCATCCCTATAAATCCCGTCTACATTCTTATATATCCGGTCTAAACCATTATATATCCCGTCTACATCATTACACATACCGTCTACATCATTATATATCCCGTCTACATCATAATATATCCCGTCTACATCCCTACATATCCTGTCTCAACCATTATGTATCCCGTCTACATCAATATATATCCCGTCTACACCCCTATGTATCCCGTCTAAACCATTATATATCCCGTGTACATAATTATATATCCCGTCTAAACCATTATATATCCTGTCAACTATACCCTATATATCCCGTCCCTATCCCTATATATCCCGTCATCTATTATATCCCTTCTACATGTACATTCCTATATATCCCGTCTGCATTCCTATATATGCCGTCACCTACCCTATATACCCTTCAACATATACATTCCTATATATCCCGTCTCCTAACCTATATACACCGTCCTCATCTTTATATATATCTCGTCTACACCCCTATATATCCCTCCTACATCCCCGTATATCCTGTCACCTACATGTACCTTATATATCCCGTCAACATCCTACAATATCCCTTCTACATTTACATTCCTATATATCCCGTCTCCTACCCTATATACCCCGTCCTCATCTTTATATATCCCGTCTACACCCCTATATATCCCTCCTATATTCCCGTATATCACTTCACCTACCCTATATATCCCGTCCTCATCTTTATGTATCCCGTCTACATCCCTATATATCCCCGTATATCCCGTCTCCTACCCTATATATCCCATCCACATCTTTATATATCCCTTCTAGCATGTGTCATTTTAATTCACATTCTTTTTTCTCCAGCAACAATTGTACATGTAGCATGTACACATTTCATTGTGCGTTGCTAAGTTAAATGCAGTGAAATCCGCTGTATCTACACCAATTTTGACGAAATAAACAGTTTTATAAACTTATTGGTGTCCAATATGTTCAAGTTTTTTATAGCGTTAAAAGTAAGGTCCACCTAAATAAACGTGAGATAGGCGATGAATTTTCAAAAAAATAATCAAAATCGTGTTTACTATTTTTACATCATATTACGGTATACGTACAGGTATCACGGCTTATCACAATATAATTATATCCGATGAAACAATATGTTTTATATAGTGTTAATATGTAATTTTTGACACTATGTAATTTCCTGCACTTACCCTGTCGTTCTTCTCATTCATTTCATACGCCGAGTTCTTCATGATTTCCGATATAAGGTATAGAGTTTTGGCCAGGTAACACGAGACAGTCCGAGAGATATTAAGTCCAAACGGTCGCTTCCGAAATCCAAATTGTGTCTGTTTTCGTTGAAATTTCTCTATCTGTATATATACCACACATTTAGTTATACATCTACATACACAATGTATGGCTAGCTCAATGAGATGACTTGAGGGCAATTTCTCATCATAAAACCCAAACAGCCTTAACCTAGCTCAGGTAGAGAGTTTCCCGACCGCCTACAAGCGCGTGTGTGCTCAAGCGTAAATCTAAATATGCATGAGTTGAATTAGATTTGGCCCCAAATCCTCACAAGCATTGTGTGTCTTTTCCTTCGGCTCTGTTGTCAAAGTTATTTGAACTTAAATAGAGTATTGGTTTTCGTGGTTCCACAAACTATATAAATACCAAACACGTCGAATTTAACATGCCTGACCGCTCTTGAATACAGTGGGAGGGTCTCAGGTTCAAATAGTATTAAAATGGACAGGACAGTCTTGTGTCGAACTTTTTCTATGTACATTTTCAATCATGAACATTTTCGCCTTTACCGAAACTGAAAAGCGGATATGTACATTTAAGGATTAAAAGTTTTTTCTCACGGATAAATGTCACTAAAATTACCGTCTTTACGAATACATGTTCAAACAAATATAATAAAGACATAAAACGTTTAATATCTGGCAGTAAGTTCATATAAGCCTTATATAACAACACATAAACTTAAATAATATGCGAAGTGACTTTATTATATGTAAGAATTTGCACAGTTGTATAAGTTTTATATGTTTTTATAAGCAGAAAGAACCACCTTTAAGAGTGCTACGCATTTTTGTCCTACATTGCACTTAAAAAATAAATATGAAACAGGTAATTTTATATTTAAAGATATTATAAGAAATTTTGAACGATGAAATATACATGTATCATCATGCATATTTTATGAAAAACATACGAACTACTAAACTTTTCTAAAGTAATGAATGTGAAATTTGACAACGACAGAATCAGTTTGAGTTGATGAAAATATTCGCGGGAGACGTCGCCAAATTGAAATAATATATTATAAATATTTCAATTGTTCGATAATACCCAGACTTTCAAAGGCGATAAATCGAAGCACACCCTGCAGATTATATGTAATCTCATTATTTATATATTATGGGGTTTTCCCAGCTAATATGCCAAAATAGCACGTCCCAACGGTGTTAGCATTACATTTATGCTTTCAACCTTGGCAATTGTTTTGACAATTCGCAATGTAGCTGAAAAATATAACAACATTGCTTTTCTCAATCGTAATGTTAATACACAATAAACAATTAAACAGAACAAGATTATTAGACTGCAGATTCTGTGGTCTAAACTTGGAAGGTTGACCTATCAAAACAATCCAAATCATGTTGATCATTTTTCTTTACATCGAAGGCAGATGAGACCCGAGAAAGTCCGTGTGATAAGTAGGACGGGATTCTCTGCTAAAAAACAATCCGAATCAAGTTAATATCTTTCTCTACAAACAGAGCTACATTTGCACACAATTCAAACGCAGATGAGACCAGGGAAAGTCGTTGTGATTGACAGTTGCAAGGGGGCGCCTGCAGCGGACGAATACATCAAAATGGACGTAACAGCTGGTAACACCAGACTTGCTCTATAAATTATACGACAGACTCTGTGAATATATCTTTCAGGAAGACATTTACAGAATGAATGATAATTTGCAGACGGCATCAATGCCTTCGTTCTGCAACACATGCACTGTTTAGTCTTTAACCTTAGCTAAAAACATACGTGTACATTGCACATTCAGGGGTGGTTTATTCCGTGTCTTCTATTTAGAGGAAACCGGAGAAACCAAGAAAAGACCTGCTACATTTGTATACACCACTACATGGATATCGTAAGAGACAACTAACGTGGGATCCCTGTAGAGTTCGGGTCTTTCTTCTGTATCTTCTTCCAAGAGGATATTGGAGAGACAAAGTTGATCTGCTGCCTCCATTATAACCTCTCTCTCTCTCTCTCTCTCTCTCTCTCTCTCTCTCTCTCTCTCTCTCTCCAACCTGGATGCGTCTCCTTAGGCACCCGTCTTTATATGATGATAGCTATTGTGAGAACGTTAAACCACATACAATCTGTTAAACATTACGTATATGTATATAAATAGACGTCACACGTTACTCCAACTTCTTAAGTCCCATACACGATATATACATGTACAATGTCCATCAGCAGTGGTATTGAGTGAAACATGCAGACAAGTGACTATGTGATGTATTCTAAAGAACTGATAATACTTGATAACATATTAAACTGATAAGCAGATGAAATAATATATAATTTTGAAACCAAAGGAAACAAAACATGTTGTTATAGCTACAGGCTGGTGTATAAGTGCAAACACTCAAGGTCGAAAATATCAATCCCTGTATGTTGTACATGCATTGTCAATATCTTAACATCACCTTTTATGACAAATCTGTGTTCATTTCAAGTGTTCATTATACATGCTTTTTAATCGTTCCTCCAACACTTAAGAGTACATTGGAAGGTTTGTTAACGATTATCTGTTTACTTATAAATACTCGAAAAATTAAGGTTTTCACATTTGTTAACAAACCGCATACTATTATTGAAATTTAACCGCACCGGTTGCTTTCGAGTTCGAAATAACCCGACATGCTTGTCCGAAGTTACCTAGTTGCCGTCCGATGTTGCTCGACTCGTGTCTGATGTCACCCGATTGCTGTCCGATGTTGCACGATTTGTGTCCGAAGCTACCCGATTGCTGTCCGATGTTGCACGATTTGTGTCCGAAGTTACCCGATTGCTGTCCGATGTTGCACGATTTGTGTCCGAAGTTATCCGATTGCTGTCCGATGTTGCACGATTTGTGTCCGAAGGTACCCGATTTGCTGTTTGATCTTACTCAACTCGTGTCCAAAGTCACTCGATCGCTCGTCGATCTTACACGATTCGTGTCCAAAGTTACCCGATTCCTGTCCGATCTTATTCGACTTCGACTATTGTCCTAAGTTACCCGATTCCTGTCCGATCTTACCCGGCTATTGTCCGAAGTTATCCGATTCCTACCCGATCTTATTCGACTATTGTCCTAAGTTTCCCGATTCCTGTCCGATCTTACCCGACTATTGTCCGAAGTTACCCGATTCCTATCCGATCTTACTCGACTCGTGTCCGAAGTTATCCGATCTCTGTGCCGACATGAATTCTGCTGTAAAACCACATACTTGATGTTATCTGGGGTGTTAAGGTGCAGCTATAGAACATCTGTCGCAAAGATACTGTTATGTAATATTAAATCCTTCGAGGACGACTGGGGTTGTGTTGAGTAAACACACGCTAAACAGAAACCCGGTAGACGCAGAAATCTGATATCCGCCATTGGAAGTTACACTAAAAATAATGGATTTTTCTCCTGATTGGTATTTATACTAAAATGATATTCCAGTGAATGTTGACTTAGATTAAATTGGTTGCATGTATCAACACTGTCCATTTCTCACGAACAAAGATCCTTAAGACGAGCTGTATGTACATAGTTTTTTTTCATATTAATCTGGTTATGACTGTCGTTGTGGTAAATAAATAATTAATTATAACAATGAAAAAAGCACAAATAAGAATTTTATTTTATCATCGTACGAATTAAGATAGCACACCAAATATGAATTACATAATTAAGAGAGTAAAACAAACATTCATATCCCAATTACATTAGAAAAGCGATAATTTTATTATATTGCTGACACTACTATACTCTATATACATATAAGCACTCTCGGTTGTTGAGGACGGTCGATGACAACTCCGTAACTTAACACGTTGTTCATGTGCACGTGCGATAGTGTATGCAGTATTATTTACGCGGTAGTAATAATGCTCTTTCGAATTTTCGCGGTTAGGCGGTCCAGCAAATCAAACGTCTCAATTTCTAGTAAAGTAACGTTGGTTACAGACCTTAAAATGCACAAAGTAACGTCATACATGTACATGTACCGTATTCCGTCTTTGCGTATTGCAGAGTTATCTTCTCTCGAGAGCATGTATTGATTGTTACGTCATTTCTTTCTGAGAGTAACGTCATCAATTTTTGAGAAAACGACGTCATTTTCTCACACGAGCCAATGACGTAACAATCAATACCTGCTCTCAAGAGAAGATACCTCTGCAATACGCAAAGACGGAATATTTACACGCGCGTTGTTTGTCAACTATATGTGAACCTATTAAAATGAGTTAATGTACGAAATTAAGCGCATATATTTATGGGGTTATATAATCAACTTATAAATGTACATGCAATCATACGCCATGGCATGGTAACTGCTTTTAAGCAACATAAAACTGGGTCGCATAACCCCTTAAATAAAACATGCCTTTCGATACTTTAAAAAAAATATTTTTGCTCCAGATATAAAGAAAAAGAAGCAGAAATCAATTTACGTCGTACTACATTGCAATTAATACCAGCCAAAATGCAACCCGTGCACAGTTTTCGTTCTTTATATCAGGTTGTAAATACATATGTAATAAAATACATATTTTGATATAGCGCCCTATCTAGCTAACATAAGCCACTCCAAAGCGCTTTACAGTACATAAATATATATACAGTTAATACAATTAGCATATACATTAATTAATACAATTTTGAGGAATTCGCAGGAGCTGCTTTATTAGGCGCTAACTACTAGTCCTATGTCATCTGGCTAATATCTCCCTATATGTGTGTATGCCTGTGTGCTGGAGATGTAATGTGTGTTCTATTTGTAGTGGGACCGTGCTTCTAACGGCATCATTTATAGTGCCACCTCACTTGAATGCTACAGCACATATACCGTAACATCCACCCCAGACCAATGTATACTCCATCTGGGTTGTTGTAGTTGTAGTTGTGTTGGCATGGAAAAAACATTTTCTTTGAATATCCATGCCTACGACGACTTCGGGGATTGAACCCCGGCCGCCTTCGTGGAAGGCTGGAGTGTTTACCACTCGGCCAATCCGCCCGTAAATAATATCAAACGTATAAACAAATCGTAAACGGGCCAAGTGTGTTTATTAAAGTTAAAGGTCATATTTACCCGAAATGCATCGTTGTTTACATTTGACTGTGTTTTACGCCGGCCTGTCAGCTGATCAAACGGTGTTATTTGAAAATGCAAACACTTCGCTCTCCAGACATTTCTTCGGGTTTATGCGCGCAAATATAGGGAAATGGTATCATTTGAA